AAAGGTGTCACAGTAATTAGGAAAAGAGAGATGGGCGGGAAGGAGTGGACTAGGGATTTATTTATGCAAAGGCTTCAAACATGCCACCATCTAATCAAAGCTAATTAAAATTCTCTGTCAGGCCGCTTAGTCTCTTTGAAGGATACGAAGACGACAGAATAAATAACTAATTAACAGCAATGTATGCTTGTTGCATATCAGGCAAACATATAAAACAAACCGATCACTTGAAAATTCAAAGTTCGTTTCAGTTTCAGTTATTTTAGTGTGTGTTGTTTGACTTGCAGGGATGGACATAACCCCAGCTGGTCCTGACCCAGGACCAGGTTGTTAACGTTCTCTGTCCATCTGAGATCTGTGACCGCTTACCCTTGGTAACTTTCTTCTATCGGCACTTTCCATTCACAGCTCAAGGCTGCTGAAAGGACTTCCATGCTGATGATTCACAATTGCAAAAGGCACATCTCCTCTTTTGCTCTTTCAAGGCTCAGTGTTGGAGAGCAGGGAGGAGTGGGGGAAGAAGCGGCATTCAATTGGTACAAAAAGCCCTCACAAGCATCGCGGTACGAATCATGTGGTGTATAGAAGCACAATTTTTCTCAGCCGTTTATTACTTTTATGGTTTGTTAACTCAGTGAACTTACCGTCAGGCAACACAAAAAGATGTTTGAGACGAAGCTGAGGGACTCAGAGTCAGGTTGTTCTATAGGGTGACAAAAAGAAAACTTACCTCTAGTTGAGTGTAGCATCAGCAGCAAACAGATGATAAACCTCCCAGATGCAGCCATCCTCATGCTGTACTGGGTCTGCTGGGAATACACGGCACAACTGTGAGAAATGAGATGAACTGACTGAACAATTATGTGCAGTATGAAAGGCAGCTTAGTCTCCATTTGTCCTTTAAAATGCCAGATATACAGTATGTTTAACTATATTGTTATATGTGAAATGATCCATCAGTGGTAGTACTATTTTAGAATCTAGCATTGCAGCTCCATTCAACTTATTTAATTTAAAAGAGAACACAAGCCATACATTCATAACGATACAAACATATGTCAATAATCCAGGGTACCCTGCAGGTTCGTTTTCATCAGCAATTCAGCATATAAATAAAACAAGACGACCTCGGTCGCGCTGACTTAAAATCAGTAGCAGTGGAACATATGCGTCGTTGAGACGTGATGAAGATGCTGCTTAAATTTATCACGTCCCAAAAATCCATGGTAACCTGATTTAGCTGGAGATCAACCCTGTTATAGTATCTGATTTGCACAAAACTTACCTAAAGCTGTGTATTTTCATATGCAACAGAAACTCAAGCCAGTTATGCAATACTGTGAGAGGATTACACTTAAAGGCTCCCAGATACTCTGATCAACTTAAGAGAGAAAAATGGTTTATTATTTTATAGGAACTACTGGGGTGCCAACTAGGGGTGGGGAATATGGACTTAAAAGTTTTATTACAATATTTTATTACTGATTTTTTTGGGGGGTAACTGTACGGCAGTGACTGCGAGACAAAACCATATTGATCTTGAAAAACACCCCTATTTCTAACACTCTTATTTAGCACAGCAGTCACATAAAGAAGAGTGATTTGTATCACTAAGCTGCACAAAGTGAGGACATTTAATCTTGTCCTCAAACTTATTGATTCTCAGAATGAACAGTGGAGAAAATAAAATGCAGACATTTTTGGGGGGACAGGGAGAATGGGAGAATCTTAAATAAAGTCAATTGGAATTTATCATGAGAATAATAACTCAAAATTCTCATCACGATAAGAAATGTATTGCGATAAGTAAACGATACGATAAATGCCCAACAGTAGTGCCAACTGAGATTTTGTCAAATTAAAGATACATTTTTCTAAAAGGAAAAAAAGGTAAGTAACATAGATACGATAAAAGCAAAAAAACAATAAATAAATAAAGAAAACATTGTATTTGCACAACTTCATCAAGAATGCCCAGAATTGTAGAGAGTTCAGACAGACTGAATTGTACTGAATAGTCGATGCCCGTTTGTGATTTCACAAAAAGAGTTCAACAATAACTCTTAGCACTGAAATTGGTTAAAATCCCTCTTTGGGTGAAGTTAATAAAATATGGCTATAAAACACACATAAAAAGAAACCACAACACCGACTGCAATAGTTTCTTTCCCGAGACAATAGTAAAACGAAGTCTCCACGCTCCACGTGCAATTCAAACCAAATAAGTGTAATTACAGTGCTGGACAAGACAGACACTAAATCAATACGTGGTCTTTCGGTGAAAAAACAAAACAAAACAAGAATTTTAGTTGTGTTTTTAACTCACAGCAGAACACGTGAAGGCTCTGTCCTCTGAAGCCGTCATCCCTCCGACATGCAACGGGATTTCCATGACAAAGACGAAATGTACAGACCACGCTTTTCCTCCTGTGAGAAGAGAAGAAAACCCGCTCACCCGGAAGAGTCTCCAACCCACCAGCAGCTCTGACAATAATTATCTCCCTTCAGCTGATGGATTAGCGGTTGTCTCTGGTCTAGGACATCAGGCGAAAGCCTCCTTGCCGCTCTCCCGCCTTCGCTCTGCCTGCTACCGCCTCGCACTGATGTTGGTCAGTGTCGCTTCGCAGCAGGGGTGATGAAATGAATCGATAGCACATGGAATCAAAGAGGGATGTGCATGTGAAGTGAGAAGTGACTGCACATCTATACAGACACACACACACACACACACACACACACACACACACACACATAGACTATTAGAGATTTTTTTTAACCCTCCCCCTGGAGAAAACAGGGGAAGATGCAACGCAGAGCATATGGAGGCTGCTTCAAAAAGACAAGAATCATTATTATTCTGTATCCAAAACAATTCTTCAGGCAAGCAAGTTAAATCAGACACCGCGTGGCACCCTCTAGTGGCTTATAAGCGCAAATGCTTTGATGAATCGCAAACGCTTTGCATTAGTTACAGTACCTAATTATGTGCGTCTCTTCTCCTTAAATAACCAACATCCGCAACCATTACTGTAATGTTGTAGCATGATATGATGAGTCAGTTTTAGCAGATTTCTATGAGCTACAAACCTTGTAAATCTTGATGGAACGAAAATAATTTACAATTAACCTCTACGTTTTTTTTCCCCCCCAAATCAGATCAGTTTATTTTTGATAACTTTTCTTATACAAATAGAGCCTTTAGAGAGGAGCCTAGTCCCTCGAAAACAAAAAAAACATTTTATTGTCAAAGAATATTTCTGATGGGATTTTGTCAGTTAGGATGGAGTGAGCACTCTTACATTGCCTGAACATCCTCTATTACAGAAATATAGGTGACATTTAGGAAAGAAAATATGCTAAAAAGGTGGGTTTCTCTTCATCTACCAAAACAAAATATTTTTTTAGGAAAGGCTTTATGCTTCAGGATAGCAAAATAATTTGAGTTTTTTAAGTTAAAGAGCAATACAAAACTGAAGGACCAAAAGTCAACACATCACTTTCCCGCAAACTGCAACAATTAGTGGTAAGTCATCAACCAGACAATCACTGTGACTGCAAGTGTTTTTTTTTTTTTTTTGCAACAACAAAGTTCCTCAGATAAGACTATCAGTGGTTTTAACTAATTACATGTTTTCCGTGAATACTAAATATTTTGTGTTGTCTGTGGATCAGGTTCTTCAACAACCAATCTCTCTAAACGTTCCTCCTGCACGTTTACTTATGTTAGCTTCAGTTCTTTTTTCTCAGTGTCTGAGCCAAATGAATGAGTGCTTAGACATAAATATGAGGTCTTAGCTGGGTTTTGACAGGAGTTTAAGAAAATCAGTTCAATTTAGCCAATGAACCTGAACAGCAAATGAACTTTGGGGTCACTGTGAAACCCACAGACAATCAAATTAAAGTCTTTTTTTCAGCCTATTTCCAACCCTCATGGGCCCCATATGTACATTTTAGTTTGGGGGTGTCTTGAGAGTGATGTTTTGAAAACTATGTTTCTACATTGTTGAAAATATAAGCAACATGTCTTCTTATTTGTTTAACACAACCACAGCACAGTTAATCAATACAAGGTGTATTGATGACACGGTTGTTGAGAGAAATGGGAATGCTGGATTAGAGTTGATCAGATCAGAAGACAATGTTTAGCTTTTTTTTATTACAGCTCAAAGTTATTTTCTGATTTCACTTATTACAGCTGATGATTGTGTTTGGATGAATGCTGAAACATTTTGTAATCTTGAAATTGTCGACATAAAGCACTTTTAAATCCCTGGGGGATGGTACCGGTTTGCCATGTCTCCTGTTGGTATTTTTCTTCTAACAATTAAAGAGCTCCTTATCTTTTCAGTTTCCAATTACATATCAATTTAGAAATCCCATTTAGTCACGTGAATCAAATGTCTTTTGTATCTAACCTTCAATGAGTCAACAAATCTGGCAAAAACAACAACAAAAAAACGTTGATTTCATTTAAGGAAGACATTTACAGACTTATGACTCCGTACAACATAAATGGCATCTGACACAAAAGAACACTCTCCACAAAGGAAGCATTATTCTTCCACACTAATTAAAGAAATTATACTGCCTCTCAGCGCTTAGGTAGAGAAACAAAATGAAATGGAACCAATAAGAAAGAAAGACCTCAGACGCTGCTGCTTTTAATACTCACCCATTAGAGGACTGACTCCGAAGCTTTCAGCTGCTGACACACGCAGCAGGGTGTAAGAAATGAAAAGCTGGAGCTCACGGAAAATACAGAGAACTATCTGAGGTGCAAAATGACATTTAAAGGACAGGTTTCCCAGACGATGACATTTAACCTCGTGAAAAGTGGCGAAGAAGAGCTGAAAAGGGGGGCCTTTCATTAGCGCACAGGATACAAGTCGTCTTTACAGAGAAGGCCAAACATCCACACCTGAAAAAAGACCGACGTGTCCCGTTTGCTGAGCGTCACCTGGAGAGAAGGTGTCTGATAACGACAGAAAATGGAGAAGCTCTTTCATCTACAAAAACACTTTCTCCCCCCACACACACAACTTTATTTTGACAGGCTGTCACCAGACTGTGGTACACCACAAATACCCAGGAGTTACATATCAAACATGTCTGCCTTGGTGGAACAGAAGAAAGTAACAGGTTGTGATGCTGCTTCTGCAGTCTGTTAAATATAAACACATATAAACCTGAGCATTAAGTGTGTGAGCAACATTCAAGGATTGGAAAATATTCTAATGTTACATTTAGGAATTGGTCATTTTATTGCACGGATACGATTTGAGCCAGGAGTCTGCAACCGTTTTTGCCCTCAGTCCAACAAAATAAAACTTTAGAGTCACAAATGNGTAANCTTTTGTGAAAAGGCAACTTGAATATCTACTATGGGGAATTTGTGGTCATTTTTAAAGACATTTACAAAAAGAGGATTGATACTTTTTTATGGGATGCAAACAAACAAAAAAACACGTAATTTCCAAAGTAATGACCGAAAAAAGTAAATATTACTGATACTTGTATCATCCTTTTGTGGACTTTTAATGCAATGTTTATTCCAAACCTGCTGAAATCTGCATTTGTTATGTCTATATTTTAAAAAAGTTGCTGTTTCTACACTTTTGTAGCTAAATGAAGAGCCATTGTGGAAGGTTTCCTACTAGCATCACCATGTATTTAGGTCTCATTGGATCCGAAGACGTGTGTTGAGGGCGGTAGTTAATTTATGCATCATAAATAGAAAAGATTTTCTGTTGCAGGACAAAAACACTGTCATCATTAAAAAGGAAATGTGCTTTTCAGACAGAACAGGATAAAACATGACAGAGTTTAACTAATAATTAACTGATCTAAAATGTAAATAAATCACTCCAGAAATACATAGAACAATGAGCTTTCATAGACAAACATTTAGGACAATTAAAAAATGCTTTGTAAGAAAAGCCTTTAAGACAGAAGAGAGAAAAGTCTCACAACTGCTGATGTGCTTTTAACAATGGTCTGCCTCATTTTGTCTCAAAACTCTTTCCCAACACTGCAGCCACAAGAAAATGCTTTTGAAGTTACTGAAGTCAATCTTAAATTGGTCTTTAAAAACATACTATACCCTGTATGTTATATTAAAAAAAAAAAAAAAGACGAGACTTGGAGGAAAAGCAAAAATGTCAGAAAACTTCTCCAATAGAGTTTTCCAAAAAAACGCCAGATAGTTAGGGAAACTTCTAAATGTTAGAAAGGGGAAGACTTGAAGTCGTCGCTCCGTGGTATTAGTGGGTCTGCATCAGTCACTGGTTCTGGGTCTGGGCTTGGTGGAGGAGCACCCGGCGCAGCCATTGAGTTCCTTCTCCTTGGCGCTGTAGTCGAAACGAGGCAGAACGATGACTCTGCCGTCGGACTCGCTTCGGGTGGCGTCACTTAACGCTTTCTCCTCCTCCGCAGACATGATCGCTTTAACCAAACACGTCATGGCATTGTCGATGTTGGTGTCGTCCTGGAGACAGAGGTTAAAGGTCAAGAAAAGGATGATGAAAACAGAGGAGCCATACTCAGCGAAGAATAAGTATTTGTACCCCTACTTTATATTTTGGCTTTTGTGTTTTGTCAAATTTAAATATTCTAAGAAGGAAATTATTGTTTTCTTTATTAAATTCCTAGCTATAGAGAAGCTGAAACGTGACGTCATGTGCACAAGATCCAGAAAAAAGTTGCTCTCAGACGATGAGACAATATAGATTTTAGGTGTCAAGTTGTTGACATGATGAGCTAAATCTTAAATGTATGCTTATGTATTAAAAGGTGAGCAGTGTTTTGCTATTAATTATCAACACTATCACTACTTGAAAACAAGGTCCAAGTATATCACATTTCATCAGACAGTAAAAAGTTTTAATTAAAAAAAATAGCAAGGGAGAAGTCAAGCAGTTATGCTAGCTTGACTTTGACAACATTAGCATGTAGATGTGCTGCAGAATTTTGGCTCAGTTAAAAAAAATAAGGCCATCCACTCAACCAACGTATTTAAGAATCGCTCTGCTCCTTGGTTACATATCTAAATAGATTGGGAAGTAGTAAACCTGTTAGCTACAGAAATGTGCCACCAAATAATCAACAAAGGTGAGGCAACTCAATGCTGAGTTCATTTTTGAGACTCTTAGTTCTGCTTTGTGGTCAAAAACCAGCTAGTTTTAGTTGAAATGTAGTTTGCCTAATTTCCCTGTTTAGTGTCTACTGTTCTGTTTTTCAGAATCCGATAACAACCTCTTTAAAATCCAGCTGTGTGAATTTCAAATGATGCATAATGTGCTGCTATGTTATGTTTTCTAGCCAAGAGGAGATTGCTGATTTTGAATAATTTACTTTTTTTTTTTTTTTACTGTGAGCTTCTTATGCATGTAAAAGAAAGTTCCAAAAATGTTTTCAGCGTTAAGACAACACTTCAGTCACACAGGGAAGCTGAAGTAAGAGAGTGTTTTGGAAACTAATGCTTAAAAGTGGTTGGTTCAAACCAAAAGGCTATGAAATGAAGTGCTGTTAATGTAGAGTCCCTCTTCAGAGACACGAAGTAGAGTAAATATTATGTCAGTATGATCAGCAGAGGAAAATAACAGCCCACCTTAGCGGATGTTTCAAACCAGCCAACAAAGCCGTGGTCCTTGGAGAAGTTCTCCAGCTTTGGAAGTTTGGGACACAGACCAAGTTGACGTTGGTCACACTTGTTGGCTAGCAGAACGGCTGGAACGGGCTTACCATTGCTCAGAGTGACCTATCAGAACAGAGGAGACATGAAGTGAAAATGATAAAAAAAAAAAAAAAAAAAAAAAACCACACCGAGCCCTGGATCTTTAAAAGCTACCAATCAGTAAATGTAAGAGTCCACAAGGATCATGGATGTGATCCTGCTATCAAAAAGTCAGCAGCATTTAAAAAAATAATAATAATCTTGTTTCTGCTGCCCTCAAGTGGACAGGGTAAAATACTACAGGTTTAAGGCAGACAAGCTCTCAAATGTTTCTAACATCACAAAGAGATGCAGTTGTTTTAAAAATGGCAATTTAAGGTGAAAAATTACTTATAACTATAAAAATGTTTGACTTCCTGTGAAGGTTTTTTCTTGACAAACTGAGTTGAAGTGAACAGCAAAAAGATTTTTGCAATTTAAACTTATTTGGTCAGCTTCAGGAGCTCTTTCCTTCGGCTTTTTCCTTGGGTGGTTTGTAAAACGTACTTTTGTGTCCAGGTCTTGTTTCCACTTGAGGACAGCCTGAAACGTGGCCAACCTGGTCATGTCGAAGACAACAAGGGCCCCCAATGCTTCTCTGTAGTACACACGGGTCATATTCCCATAGCGTTCTTGTCCTGTCAGGGAGAGACAGGGTTGACAAAAATCAGGATCTGTTGGTGAAGATGTTCCACCAAACCAATGTCTGATATCAATGTAATCAAAATCTATTGGCCTTTTATTGAGCCTTTTTTTTTTTCCTCTTCTGCTATGGCTTTGTACATTGGTATAAAATTTGGACACTTGTTTCTGCTTTCCTTTAGTAGGGGCTCCTGCACTGACATTCAGCTCACCGGTCCTTGCCCTCCAAATTTAAAAGGTCAAGTTTTTATACATACATACATGCATACATGCATACATGCATGCATCCATTCATGCATGCATACATACATACATACATACATACATGCATGCATGCATGCATGCATGCATACATACATACATACATACATACATACATACATACATACATACATACATACATACATACATACATACATACATACATGTCTGTCAAATAATCAGTTTATGTATGTTTCACTCTCCCCTCCTCTTGAATATACAATTTTTCTCCAGAAGTGCATTATGGCTGCATAGTGGGTGCAGATGGCAGAACTGTTGCGTCGAGGCATGAAAGTCCTGTGTTTGAATTACTGGTACACTCTAAGGTCTGCATGGAGTTTGCATGTTATCCCCGTACATTGATGGCTCGTCAACCTGGCCAAGTTGTAAAGGTTCAGGTTAAAATGTCTTATAGAGTCACCAGTTCTTATTTTTGAAGGTTTTATTGCCTCCAATGGCCTTTACTGGAGAGTGGTCAAACAAGAAAGTAGGCTGTGAGAGAAGAGAATGACATGCGGCAAAGATCATTGGACAGATCGACAGCATCAAGAACCCCTGTTCAACCACAGCACCTATAAAGCTACGAGTTCTCACTGCAGTCTCCAGTCCGCCTTCTTAGCACTGGGAACGCCATCCCAGTCAGTGTGCCATTCTGCTGGTGTGATCCCAGTCCTCAATGGAAAACTGAAGATACGCATCAATCTTAACAGTCCTACAATGTCCAGAGTCTTCAGCATCTCGCTTCCCTACATCCTTACAGTTTCCAACAGGGTGCGTAATAAATACAATATATAGATCATCTCTGGCTTTTCAATGTCACCAATGAAAGTAAGACCATTGCAGGTTGTTTATTTAGAAACAAACTTGGTCCGTAACCCCAAAACAGAAGGTTAACAGAGGGGACATTTTTTCATTTAGCATCAAATCTCTTCACAACAAATGCCTGTTGTGGTGGTAGAGGGGAGGAGTTAAGAAGAAAATCTATCCTGAACCAGAATCCTGGAGAGTTTTGGTTAAGTGGCTCAACTTTCCATGTTGTGTTTCCTCTTGTAGATTTTTCTAACAAGACAAACAAAAGGAACGGTCTTCATACTTCACTGATGTGAAATGAGGTCAAAAGCTCATTGCTACTTCCCATTTCTTTTTCCTTGTTGTTAATTCATAACCAAATTCACAACATGAATGTCTGAGCTGTCAAACTGGTAACTAGAAACTTCTTAAGGCCAGCATTCATATAGTTAACACTCTAAGAGCCAAGGAAGTAGCTCTGTTATTGTATCTAGAGATAATGGGATGTTTTTTTTTTTTTTTTTGCTCTGTTCATGAACATCACTTTTGAATTACTGCCCCTTTTGGCTTTGGTGAAGCTATGTTTAAGTGTGGTTAAAGTTTTTTCTCTAGAACAGGAAGTTCTTCTACTGTTTTTCACACCACTGACTTATCATAAATACAAACAGTGAAAAAAACTGTCAGACCTACTTATAGAATGATGCATGCATCACTGTTAAATGCTACACACACCACACACACACACACGCATGCACACGCCACACATACACACACGCACACACACACACAATGCATAAATAAGTCTTTGTCCAAGTTACTAACTTCCTCCACATGATCTTAATACAGAGGTGAATCAGCAAAAGATACACATGCACACACACACCTACACACACACACACACACACACACACACACACACACACACACACTTGACAATTATACACACACACTTTACACATGACTAGACTGTGTCTGACAGCAGCTATACAGAGCTCCAGCTATACAGAGCTGCTGTCAGAAAACAGTTTTAACTGGTTTAAACTGTTTTCAGTCTTTGTGCTAAGCTAACATGCTAGCAGAAACAAAACCATCAATAATGTGAAGCATTAATCAGCAGTGTTCACTTCAGTGAGAACATTGAACAATGCTGTTTTATTTATTTATTTTTTTTTTTTTTTTACCTAAAAACTTCATCTTAGCACCTCAACCAGATAGCTGCTAAGTTCCTATGAGGGATGCACCAAAATGAAAATATGACACAGTATCGACATACGATGTTATGAGTTACTGTATATGAGTTATTGCTGTTATGGTCAATAACCCATATATACACATTTCTCTGTCCTTTTCACACAGAGAAAAAAAAATATTGCATTGCTGACATTAGCTGCCTTCCCATTGATCACATAAATACACAATTTGACATTTGGAATATAAATTTGCTTAATGGAAACAACGCAACTTTGAAAAAAACTTTTCAATAAAAACTTTTGGCGCTAAGATAAAGTGGTTTTTGTGACCGTATAGAAATTGGTTTATTTCTCTAAACTGCTATGGAAAGATGATTCTCATGATCAATAACCGGATGTTGCAACTGGAGCAAACGACAAAGAAGATGACGACAGGAAGTAGTTAGAGGATGGTGGCATGGTATGTTTTATAATGACTTACCGCGTAAACAAACTTATTCGCGTGATGCAACAATCAACTACTACAGAGCACACAGCTGCACTAGCTCGTCACTGCCGGTACAAAGTCTTCTTGTGTCACCTCAACTAAACATCTTCATGCAAACGAGAGCTCCTATCTGCTAGGACCTGACTCAGCAGCCAAGCCAACAGGATATGCATGTAGCTCAGTGAGAGCATGTTAATGAGTGAGGGAAGACCGTTGTGAGGACAGCAGTGACACAGTTCCCAACAGTGTAATTGGCTGCAGGAGGAGGAGGCATGCTGGATTCATTATCGGAACAGGGGAGGCTTTTAACGCCATGTACATTTGCAGAAATGGCGGCTCACCGCATGTTCGTAGTGCTAATGTGTCACATAATGTCTCATCACTGTTGGATGTGTCAGCAAGATTGAAACCAGGGTGAGAATACAGTTAGAGCAATATGATTACTAGGTGTTAAAGGTGGAGCACTGCATATTTTCTATGCACATAAGATCATTTAATCGCACAATCAAGCAACTATCTAATCTTTTGGTGTTATAAAAACACTGTATAACTCAAACATGACTTAAAAGAAACTTGACTTCACAACTTCATACCTTGAAATCGGTGTCCGTCTCTTTAAGAAGCTCCTGTTCTTTCCAACACTCTGCCTTCACCACGTCATCACAACAATGCTCCTCCATGATGTCATTTACAACCATTCGTAGGAGTGTTGGGCGATACTCTTGTTAAGGCAGATATATTGTGCTTTATATAACTTTAGATATATTGTGTCTTTAGTTGGACTCCGAAATTCTTTTATGTTTTTATTTAAAAAAAAAAGAAAAAAGAACTGGGTGTGCTGTGGTGGCGCAGGGGTTTAAGCACAACCCTTAGTCCTCGACGCAGGTTCGAGTCCTGGCCTTGGCGACCTTTGCTGCATGTCTTCCCCCTTCTCTCATTACCCACTTTCCTGTCAATTAACTATCAAATAAAGGCCACTAGAGCCAAAAAAATCTTAAAAAAAACAAACAAAACCTTAATATTAGAACTCATCAGATGCGTCAATGGACATTGCAATGAAAGAATCACCAGAGATATAAGGGACCACAGGATGATAAATGACATCTAGTTTAAGAAGATGGTTTCTGGAGGCAATCCTGTAGATTATATCATTGTAATCTGGAACTATCAGCCTCTCACTCCACATTTATTGAACAGGGTAAAGATAGCCACAATAAGTTCTGTTTAATGTTTTCAAAAGGTCATACAGGAGAAAATAATTATGTGAAAGAAAGCAGTATGGTCACATAATACCTAACCTGAAGTTTTTGGCTAACACACAATACACGCTGAAGCATAGGTACTTTTCTTTTTTTATTGATGGATAGAGCTAAATTCAGGGTAATCCAGGAATAAATCTGCATCAGATGCTGCAAAAGCCTTAATTTCAGCGGAAGATCACCTTCAAGAAAAACAAGGAGTGGGTTTAAATTTTTTGTGTCTGGGAGTACACCATGTACAGATTGCCAGATCATCGACTCAGGTGAAAACCGGTCCCTTGTATTACGCTTTGCACAATACATAATACCTCTGTAATTTAGAGCAGGTACAGAGGGCCTGCTCTCAGCTGTTGAGAAATGATTGCTTCATAGTGGCATGGACTCTGTTTACGTTTCAAATGTTGCTCATCGCTAACATCTGTCCGTGACGTATGTAATGCGCCAGTTCGACGCAATGAAGCTTACAGGAAATAGCTCCACTGCAAAGAGAGAAGTGCCGAGCACAATTCTAAGACAGGAAGAGGTTGTGAAGTTATCGTTCCTTCTGTTTGCTGATTGGCTCGGTAGAAAATCTATCAGAGGGAATCCAAGTCAATGGGAGAAAGCCCAGACTGAGCTGTAAGTGAGATTTGAATAGAGAGGAATTGCACAGGAAGGGAATGGTGCAGCAGGGACATACTGGATGAACAGCCATGCACACTCACACTGTTTTAGGCAATCTAAAACTAAGATTTTTTGTTTTTTGGGGAAAATAACTCTATGCAAAAAGACTGGTTGAGGTCTGAACACGGGTTCTTCAAGGCAACACTGCAAAAGACTTGCAGCTGTAATATTTTTCTGACACTTCACAAATATGTAAGTATTGGCCTAGAGACTAATTAATATAAATATGCATCTAGCCATTTGCCAAATTCCAAAATAATTACAGTGATTTTATGTGTTTTTCAGCATATCTGAGCAGAAACGTATAGAAGAGTAGAAGAATGGGGCAGTTGACCAGAAAATGTAATAACCTGCCATTCCATTAAACATAAAAAATTGCACAAATTTAAATTACCAAAATAAATGTGCTCAATGGAAACACATTTAAAACAACAAAAAACACATTCTTTTATAAAAAAAAGTTTTCATACCAGGATGAGGTGTTTTTTTCCAGCCATTTCGAAATACGTGTATTTAGCAAAACTGTAGTAGAAACACATTTTTAAACACACGAGTCACGTGATCAATACCCGGATGTTACTACTGGCGAAAACCACGAAGATGACGGCAGGAAGTGGTTGGAGGCTGATGGTTTTGTTGTTGTTGTTTTTTCAGACAATATTCAGCTTCTTCGGCCAGAACTCTCACAGAACCGCACGGTTTATAAAAAGTTGTGTGTCGAATATTTTGAATCCATAGCTCTTTTGTAAAATGGCTGACTAGTAGCCGCTCTCAAAGGGCTTTTGCTCCAAAGCCGATGCCTCCTTTGATGGATACGATTATATCCATGATTGAATCATGAATGTAATCATGTAGCTGTTAACATCCCTGTCATGACTTTTTAAATAACTTATGGAGTGAACAACCTTATGTAATTTTAATTTAATTTTTTATTTAACGGAAACACCGCAATTGCGAAATTATTAGCAGAATATTGAGTAAAAAAAAAATTGCACACACTTGTCCTGAAACAGTCTGTTCATGTTCCATCACGCTGCCTTATTTGACATATGGATCATATTGGTAAACAACTCGCAAAGTTTCAATATGCTCTTCTCTTAGTTTCCTCTCTCAAAGTCAAGAAAAACCACGATAGCAGATTATTTCCTGCTCATAAACAGTGTTTGCGGTATCCGTCCTGATAATGTCTGAACGTTACGTCAACACTATTGAGCGTTCAACGACCAGGAGGAGAAACCGCAGCTGTTCCTTCAGGCTTATCAGCCGTTATAATCAGGGTAAACTTTTTTTTTCTTTTTATATACTCACCAGCGATGTCCCACAGCTGCAGCCGCACCACCGTTTTGTGATCCCAGTTGAGCACTTTGAGGGCAAAGTCCACCCCGATGGTGGCCCGGTAGTGCTGGGAGAACACCTGGTGGACGTACCGCTTTATGATGGACGTCTTACCCACACCCAGGTCGCCGATGACCAACACCTTCAGCAGGCGCTCCTGCTGCATCGCGAGAGGGACGGGATGGGGTGATGAGTCCAATTAGAGATCCCGGCGCGAGACGATCTGAAGTCATGCATTCACTGATTATCCACTAATATTTGGGCTAGAGAAGCTCACCCACCCTTTAGATAAATGGAAATAAAGTATGAATATTTAAAGTTGCTATAGCGGCATTCTTGTTCCTGTAGACGCAGAAATAATTCGCAAAGGAACAATTTTTGAGTCTTCAGAGTTGTTGTTTTTGTCCCGTTCGGTTCCTTTAAAACGTCCCAAGAAGTTAAAAGACTTCAGCCTGACTCACGTAGCACAGTTCGCGCCTCTGAGACAAGAAACGACCAGGAGAGAGGAGTTGTTGTGCGTCGTCAGGCCTGCGGTCAGTGAACGCTGCGCCTGCAGCTCGGTCCGCCGTTCGGCTCCGCACAGAGGGGAGGACGCTGCGGTGACAGCCCCGGCTGTCAGCGCTCTGCGCGGGGACAGCCACGCCTCCCGCCCGCGCGCTCTCAGATACAGCTGCAGATATTTACATACACTTTACAAAAAGACATGTAACCATTTTTTTTTTTTATTGAATTTTTGAGTAAAAATCTGATCAAACATGTCCTGTTTTGGTCAGTTAGCGCTAAGAAAGTAATTTATATTTGTTAAATGTCCAAATGAGAAAACGAGAGAGAACTTTTCAAATATTTCTACTGACTTTCTAATAAATTGAGAGGGTTACACAAACACTTTGTATATCTCTAAGCAGTTTGGGACAATAAGAACATGGCTTTACAAAGTTCTAATAGGTTGAATAGTATTTAACTTTTATAATAATCATGTCTTTTACATATTTGTTAAAATTACCATGACTAGCTCTGTCATGTTAAATAATTTTGCTGGATGACAAATTGTCCCCGAAGTTATTGCGATAAACGATAATATTGTTGTTTTGAGACAATTTACATGTAATATTATGGTAATGGTGTAACAATAATGCAAGAACACGTTCTCAAAGATCAATAAACTTTAAATTCCAAGGAACATTTGACACTGTAATAAAGACATTTTATGTTTACAAAATAAATAATCAAAACAATGCAAACAAAAAAAATAAGTTAAAGGTGGGACACGTCAGGCCTTCCAGATGGGCAGCAAGTCTGCGCTTATCACAAAAACAGTTACAATGTGGCTAAAGGTCAAAGTTTTGGAGTGGCCATTGCAAAGTCCACATCTCAGGCTCAGAGAAATTTTTTGGGCAAAGTTTAAATAGGTTCCTAAAGCAAACTGGACCCAGTTACACCAGTTCTGTCAGGAGGAATGGGCCAAAATTCCAACAAACTATTGTGAGAAGCTTGTGGAAGGAAATCCAAAACTTGAGGCTGATGTTTCCGTCTATACATGTAGAGTTCGGAAGTTTCTAGAAAGTTACAAATAATTATCTAAATAAGCTCTCGTTTCTCTTTGTTCTGGTACTAAGCACATAGAGATGATTTTGTAAATCCTGGTAGGGTTTAGACTGATGTACTGTCTTTTTATACACTGTATGCGGACACCAGGTTTCAACTGCAAACGTGTGAAATCATTTTGTCGAAAGGTGTTAAGCCTATATCCTGTTTAACAGCATAATCACACCTAGGATGATGTAAAATGACAACATGAGGGCCTTCAAGGCAGCAGCTGAAGTTTCCTGTTTTTCACACAAACATGTTAAGACAATCTGTCTGTAGAGCACCATTCGTGAACAAGCTAAGTGCTATTGTATTTTATGTAATGTATATATCTAAATATCCACTAAAATGAGCAAAGGCTAAAATTCAAATTTAAAATGCACGAGAACTGAAAATGTGATTATATTTGAAGTTGAAGTACACGGTCATGTTTTCATTCCTGATTTGATGGTGTCAAAAGTTTCTGCACATCTCAGGTTGTTAACTCCCTTTGGTGCCCCCACATGTTCAGTTTTGGTATTACAAGCATTCTGGATAAATTACAGATGCCTAACAAATTAGTATCTTAAAGAGACCTGCATAGAGACCGCTACAGTAATTTAAACTACTGAAAAAAAAAAGAATGCACCAGTTCTGGTTATGTCTTTAAGATGTTAGTAGGTTGATTTATTAATAAACACGTGGCTGGACATACTGATTCCTAACCTGTTTAGGGCTATGACTTTGTCTTTTCTTTATTAAATTGTAAAATTATTAAATTATTTTCACTTTCCCAACTGAGGGAAGGGCTGCTGTTACCGCTCTATTATTTTAATTAAATTAAAACAGCTGATTTGTCTCTTCAAAAAGAAGAGGTGATTAAAGTCAGTCCTACAGCATCTCATTTATTGTTTTTCTTAACCAGATTGTCTCATTTCTATATTATTTTATTTTCCTTGTTGTCTGTAGTGCTGTCTTTTCCTTTCTGAATCACAATGGCATCTGTCAACAAATTACATTAAAAGCATAAATGTGAATATTGTCATGTCTGTTAGCATTGATTTATTGTTTTTGCTGTTTGGACAAATTGTTTTTAGAAAAGCACTCACTGCCTTGCAAATGTCAAAAATGATTCAAGAACAGAGTTGAGCCGACTGGGAAAAACTGAAAAAAAAAAAAAAAAAAAGTGACAACAGTAAAGATTTGATTTGATGTTCAAAGAGATGTATCTTTCACAGTATTTTATTAAAAGAAAAAAACAAAAACTAAAAAGAATAATGAATGATATTTAATCAAACAAAATAAAAAACGTCTACAAACCCAACAACAAATAATAACCCCTTTTCAAATATCATAAAATCTAGTCAATGATAAAACAAGAATGACCTTGGCTGCTTTCAGTCAAACAGTCAATGTCCTGGATACCAAGGTAACCTGCAGAAATACTGAAAAAGCCTTCCACAAGCCTTTAAACTCAAGGTCCATTGAAATTTGTGATGAGTTTATTATTGTACTTCCATTTTTTATCAGTTAGCCTAAGAGCTACCTACTTACTTAACTACATAGCTAGCTAGGCAGATAGATCAGATATTTGTGGTTTGTGGTGCGGGAGAAGAAGAAACTACAATTCCCAGACCGTAGTGAGTGCGCAAGACCGGTGACTATTTCCGGAAGTGCTCATCAAGGAGTGAGCGTAAAGACCGTAGTGAGTGCGCAGCTCAATTCTTAAGTACAGCCGAGATGTTTAAAAACAAATGAAAGACAGATTTCAATTAATGAGAAACGGCCACAGAAACTATTATTGTTTATTTTTTTAAAAACCGAAAATGTTTTTAATCCTTTGGCCACATTGTCTTCTGATAGTGCGTTAACCTTTGTTTAGTATAAAAGTACAAACATGTGTACGTTTTCTTAGGTGCTTTGTAAGGAAACTTACAGAAGCTGTGTATTTCTAGGAGTCAAATACATAACTCTATAATTCCAGGTCTACGTGAAGGTAAGCTGGGGGATTTTCCGCGAAAACGGGAAACTTTTCTACCCCCCTCTTCGTCTCCGCTCGGTTCTCGTTGCGCCCGTACGCGCTTCTTTACGGTAATGGTACTGATGCGGGATGAGTCAGGCTGTATGATGCTACTGCTGCTGCTGTGCTGCCGTCGCTCTCTGCTGCCATTTCATCTGCGCCGATTAGCTCCAAACACTCAGCAAACACAGAAGGGATTTTTCGGGATCCCCACCACCACCTCCCGCCCTCCTCTTCATCCTCTCAGCTCGCCCCCACCCCGCCGCCCCTCTCCCTCAGACGCTATTGACAACGGGGGGCTCAGTTTGAACCGGACTTCCGCAGGATCCGTGTGTTTTTCAGAGAAGCTGCACCTGCTGCTCTGGATGCGCTTCTGTCTCAGCTGTCCGGCGGGGGACCCTGACCGAAAGAAACGGAACAGCTCCGGACTCCAGCGAACCAGTGTGTGTTTGTACTAATAATACTAATAATACAGAGTCCACAGATTTTTTCTTTTGGGGCCTGAGCGTCGAACCAGTCCGACTTGTTGGTGCCATGGAGCTCTCATCGGCCTGGTCCTGAACAGCAACACCGGCCTAAAGCGGACCCACTTCCTGCTGCAAGTAGGGACAATTCTTCTTCTTCTTCTTTTTTTAATCAACAATGTATGTTTCTATTAATGAACTTAACTTAGTAGCTATATAGTTTTAGTACTTAGTTGCTCTAAAATGACTGAAATCAACATAATACATGTGTGATTTGTTGAGAAGCTCATTAAATATGCCCTCAAAGATCATTTTCTGTGCCTAGAGATAATTCTGGCAGGTTTCAGTAGAGTAGCCCGGTCAGCTCTGCAGTCCAGCTGTCCTTTATCTGCTCCTGTTGGAGATTTTGGAAGGCGTTTCTGGACCTCATCAGGAACAAGAGCTCTGAGGCCGTTCTATCCACCAGGGATTCCAGCTGCTAATGTTTGCACACTGACTGGGCCGTGCAACCCGACTCTGCTGGAGAGCAGGGCTGATGGGAGGCTTCATAAAGCTGGCCCTCTGCCCGCCTGGTGGCCTGATACAACTCAGATAGATTATGTGTCAAAATCAAAGGAGATTACCTTTGAAAATTGAGGGAACTCACTTGATTTCATACAGAAAACACCTACACTGTTATAGTAATTTCCTTTAAAAGTGATGGTGTTGTGCAAAAGCCACTTTTTAGAGCTTTACGACATGTTGTAATGTTATTCCCTCATCTAAAACATACCTGGAGTGTTGCCCTGATTAGATAAATCCTGTCATCTCCCCCTCTCAGCTGCTTCAGACTAGCCAGTAGCAATTAGCAAACACCTGCTGCAACTGCGCCTCTGCTGAGCTCATACAGGAGCTACTTCTGAAGTACTTATTAGAGGGTTAATAAAGGAGCGATGTGACGACTTCCTGAAGGGAGTATCAGAAAGAGCAGGTATTTCTTAAAGAGACAGAGGCCCAATTTCATGGTGTTAATTCACAAAGTCACATTTCTTTTAGCCCCCCCCCCCCCGTGGTCTTAAGAGATGAAACGATATGGACCCAAAAAGCTTTTTACTCTGTGCATAGTCCGGCGGAGTCCGAGTGGGCTTTTATAAGGTTTTTATTTTTTTGTGTGTGGTTTTGGGAACTGACGGTCTGACGGGACAACTCGCCACACACCTTCTATGCTATGAAACAGCAGATGCCTGGAAAACACACAATACTGTCACTTTAAGTAATACCCCTTTCTTCCATAAACTTCAACTTATCTTATTAAAATTTTATGCAGCAGGCCGACACAAATCATTACAGAAATTGGAAGTAGAATGAAAATAATATGTGGTTTTCAGTGCTTTTTATTTTACTTAGAAAGCAGATTTTGAACTCATTTTACTTTACAGTTATTGCCCACTTTCTGTTGGCGTTGTGAATACAATCCCATAAAACGCAGGAAGAAAGCTCAAGAGTTATAAATACTTTTGGAAGACCCTGTAGATTTAGTTAATTATAGAAACCCTCCTTCTTTACAAGAGCAACTATAAAGTAAAAATAAAGTTCATAACGACTATGAAAAGAAGAAATTTCACTAGATATTATGTTTCTTTCTGCTTTTCTATGTCAGGACAGGAATAACACATTTCTTTCTCCCAAAGCAGATCATTGACTCAAAGTTCAGTTTGTCAGCAGCTCACATGAAGGTGAAAGTCTTCAGTTATTGATTGACCACATCAGAGATCATGACTTGTGATCAATAAGTGGCAGAAAAAGCCAAGAAACAATAAAATACGTCAGCCGTTTTCTGTACAAAATGATATTTAGCAAAATCTAGAATCCAAACTTCCACCGTCTCTAACTTTGTCCATTCAGAACCACCGTAGCTCCTGATTTAAGGTGTTAAAAACGCAACAGACTGTTCTCATGGGTTTCTGCCCACCGTCTCATCCTCTGCTGCTACAATATTCAGCTGTTACCTCGTGATTTCAATGAAATCACACAGAAAAGACGACAAAGTTACAGATAAATCACAGAGGAGGTGTGACAATGTAGACAAGCGTCCATTTGATGAACAAATCGATCAGGTAATCAATAGAAAAGGAACGCTGTGGTTGTGTTTGGTGTCTGCTGTGATTTTTATCTGCAGTCTAGTCGCAGCGACTGCAGCCGTTTTGCACAAACAGCATCAGAAGTCTCCAAAAAGCAGTGAGAAGAGCGAGGCGCTGTGGTCTGTTGACAGCAATGTGATGAGAAAAACAACAGAATGGATCTGAAAGCTGTAAAGTTCCTGCTGCTGACATGTAATATCTATAAATTACTCTCTCATAAAACTCCAGCAGCCTATAAAATATTTTTTTCTACTAAGTAAATACATTTTTTTAATATATCATAACTCAGCAACACAGCAAACTTGTGCCCAATTATCACATTAAGATTTTACATGAAAAAAAAAAAATAATAATAATAATAATATTACTACTTTTTTTCTGGAACCATTTCGATTTTGTTGTGAATGCTAAGGCGAGTCAGCATGGCCACCAGTGACGGTAAATAAAAGGTTTTCCTTTAACAACAAATTGTTTCTCCCTCGTTAGCACATTTAGCAGGGCGTTCACGAGGTTGATTGACAGCGCTAAAACCCTCCTCGTGGCTCTGATTGGTTGTTTTTGGTCGGGTGTGGTGCACATCTTTTCACAGATTATCTGTCTGCCGTGACATGGTGATAGTTGCATGCAGTGACTTCCAGGCAGTTCTGCTGTTGGGTTCTTATGAAATGTTCTAGCCAGAACTAGCTTTGTTCTGGTTCTTGCAGCTCTGGCAGGGAGAACGCAACACTCTGAGTATCTCCATCCAGCACATTAAACTGTTTATGTCTCTCCTGTCACTCCATAGTCATATTGTTTCCCTCGAAATGCAGCGGTGCGTTTGTCAATGATTATGTAACCAAGAGTTACCAGCCGGTCAAGGAGGACGCTGTTAGGAGTTCACTCCATCATACAACGGGACGACAACTCAGGAACTATTTTCACTGCTACTTCAAAACCACACATATATTTAGGCTTAAAGCATTCACATTCATAAAACAGTAGGTGTCACATTTGATGAGACACACTTCATTTGGACAAGAAATATTTTGGTGCCACAAGATTTCATTTGTGGGGGGAAATAAAAGTAAATTGTAATTGGAAATCAGAATTAGCCGGTTATTTCTGATCAATATATAGCTATTTATTAGTGTTACTACTGAGAGTTTTTGGTGTTGCTGCCTTATAATCCCCAAAATTTCAGAAGCTAAGTCTGGGATTAGCATGACATACAGTTTGTCTTGTTTCAACAACAAACGGAGTGGAAATTAGAATTACGAATTGCTAACTCCAACCAGGTTATTAATCCAATAGCAACTCATTTCTCTTCATTTACGCAGAAATAAACAGTTACTATGGAAAAACTGGTGAAATTTGTTTTCAGAAGAATGTTTACAATGATGTCTGAAATGTTTATTACAACAAAAATGTGAATATATTTTTTCCAAATATTAATAATAATCAAAAATATGTATCTGCAATACATATTAAGGAGACATACATTTAATGTAAAATAGGCACTTAAACTTTTAAAGATTTTTTTGGCTTAATTAAAAAAAAAATTCTGAAACTGCAATTTTGTGAAGATTGCATTTTGATGATTTTTTTTTAAAAAAAGTCTGAACTGCATTTAATCTTTGCTAGTACCAATCAATCTTGAATTGGAATATTCCACACTGCACAGAGATTCATTAAAATGCAAACTGAAATTTACTGCACTGTATTTGTCAAAGTACAAAGAATACACTTTCTATACTTTAGGTTTGGCATTAAGACAGCCTTGGTTTACCAAAAGAAAGTTATTGTAACTTTTTGGATCATTTGCTTGTCTAACAGATTTATGTACAAGGCAAATGCCACATTAAATATTTTTTTAAAAACGAACAAAAATTGTTATACTTGCAAATTTAGCTGGAGTGGGTACCCCCGTCTGTGTTTTGCCCTGGGCCCACATGTAGCTAGGACCACCTCTGATGTCGTTATTTGATGCTGGTGTTGTAATAACAAACTGCGGAGTCAAACTGACTTAATAAGGATATTATTGAAACTTTTGTGTTTTCTACTCTAAAAATAATTAAAAGATTCCTGTCAGCTAAACTAATAGACACCATATAACAAATGACCCCTCCTCATATTGCTCCCGCCTTGCTTTAGCCAAACGGCCTAACGGGGGGAAATACGCTTTTGTCTCTCACTCAAGCTCGCGCCGACGCACGCGCACCTCGGGCGCTCCACACCTCAGCAGACCGCAGCGGCAGCAGCGCGCGGAGCGACGCAGTCAGTCGTCATGGAGGCCATATGGCTCTACCAGTTCCGCCTCATCGTCATCGGGGACTCCACGGTGGGCAAGTCGTGTCTGATCCGGCGGTTCACGGAGGGTCGCTTCGCCCAGGTGTCCGACCCCACCGTGGGCGTGGACTTCTTCTCCCGGCTGGTGGAGATCGAGCCCGGGAAGCGGATCAAGCTGCAGATCTGGGACACCGCGGGGCAGGAGCGCTTCAGGTGAGGGGAGGAGACCGGCTGGCAGGCGGCTGGACGCGCTTAGCAGATGATGTGAGGTCCTGCTGTTTCTTTGTAATCCTCTGCGCTCTATATGGAGTGGACTGTAATCACGTGAGGGCTTATTTGTCAGCTTTTTTTCTTTAAAGTTACCGGTGGCAAAAAGTGTGTTTAATAAAATTGGCGACATTTTGTTTTGTCGAGACAAAAGGGGGATGTATTTAGGTAATTTTTTGAGAATATTAATAAAAGAATGTGCGAACGAACACTTCTGCATTTTTACAATAAAATACAGAAGCTGTCAGAGCTGAATGTCCCGTTTTAAAAACGTTTTGCTTGTTCATCACTCTGATTCGTCCCAACTTCCAAAGCATCTAACATGTTTGTGCTTTTCTTCTCTGAAAATATTCTAATGAACACAAGTTATAGAATAAGCTCCTTCACAGGCAAAAATACATTAAAAATAATTGCCCCCCAAAAAGTAACTATGCAAAGTCTATATGTGGTGAAATTACACTTAATTGTGATATGAGCTTATGATTTCTCTGGAAACTTAAAGAGTGCAAAATAGAACATTCTCACCCAAGTAAGGCTAAAATTAGATGCTTATTTTCCTTATTAAAATTGTTTTGTTCATGAATCTGCAGATGTGTAGGTGAAGGTCAGTAGGATGTGTCGTGTTTTAGGTTTTCTGGATGGAACGAGTAAAATACGTCCAGACTGCCTGACCAGACCGAACCCAAACCTCACGAGAGCCAGACTTCCAGAGAAAGAGCTGTGGGAAAAGTAGCAGAGTCACATTCAATGAGCACATGACTTTCTCACTACAGAGAAGAAAGAGGAACCCAAGGTCCAATTTAAATACTGATTTATCTAGAAACCGAAACTGCCATCTGTTGTGTAACATTTCATCATGCCGGTTTGGATTGAAGAGGAATGCAGAGCAGCAGTTTGAACAGGCGAACATTCTTTCAAGGACAAATCTTTAACTGACCTTTGACCTGTCTGTAAAGTGAAATTTGTTTTAATTGACAGTGAGACATTTGAAAAAAGAACATTCGGGTTGTACAGAGTTACAAGCATGCATTAAGATATACATATACATTTATATAAGCACAGCTGAAGTTATAGCTTTTAGATTTATTGCAGTAAGCAACAAATCAGTTAATTGCAAAACGATAATCTGCCCTTGCGTGATTTATCGTTTCCTCTTTTTTCTCTCTTTCTAACAAAAACTGGATAACAAAAGTCTTCAGTCTGGTGCTTTGGTCTCAACTAGCCCCTTTTTTTGAAGGCCAATTTTGTTTACAGAGTTCATAATTCATGAATTATTACGTCATTATTTGAAAATGGTTTCAAATCAACAGTATTATCGTTTATCGCGATAACTTCCAGAACAATGTATCGTCCAGCAAAACTTCATGTTACTGTGACAAAAAAATTGTTTTGATACTCAATGTCAACAAAACCCATGCATATATCTAATATCTTGAAATTATTCAGGACAAGTGCAATAGAAGACCAATGTGTTGGCAGAGAGTGCTGAGGACGCATGAAGATATAATATTTTAATATTTTATAGTAACATGACATTATAAAGGTGTCTCTACCGAGGTTCTTTAGACATCAAACAAAATTTCATGCCCCTGACTTCATTTGCAGAAATTTATTTTAAGCTGTTACTTTTCTACCTTCCTGTATGAACTAGCTGTGCCACATTTCAAATGCTACACCTTTTGTTTTATATTAATTTGTTTAGTTTTACTTTCTGAAATACTGCCCTATTAAAACACAAACAAGATTTGAAAACCGTGAAAAAACGAAACTAATATTCTTTTCTCTCTGTTTTATTCCCTCTGTGATTTTCTACATGACAGCAATTTTGTTTTCTAAACTTCCAAGGTCGATTTTTAAATCTGTTTACTTCCATTGATTCATAGCTGGTCATTTCTATCATCATCGATAACGACAGGACAGGACAGAACCTGCAGAGTATAAATCGCTGCACAGACACAGCAGCATGTTAGAAAGGCTGAAATACGTCTTCACACTCATCACTGAGCTCATCCTGGTGACGAAGAGGATGGCTGTCACCTGCCTTTACCCTGAGCGTTTCCATGTCAACAGCCCTAAGAGACCAGACAAGCGTTTTTCCATGATGTCTTTCAACTATTACTTAAAATGAAACGCACGTTTTGAACTGCGACGTCCTCGCACCGCGATACATGAACAGAGTTGTGGTTTAATTTGATTCTGCATGGCCATCTGCTGACATATATCTGCAACAACTCCTGTAAACATGTAAATAATTCACAACTAAGCTTCAGAATCTGACTGTTTCCTGAATCTGATTTCCTAAGTTAGTGTCCTACAATGTTCATTCCCGACGGTTTACTTTAAATTCCTAACAGTGATCTTTGTGTCGGTTTATGTTGGACCTCATGAAATTCTGGCTCAGTTTTGAAATGCTACAACAAAATGGCTTCAGGCTGTTATTCCCACCGTTCGCAGGTGATGTTGGGATTTTGTTGCACAGCTGAATTTGGCAATTTTTTCCTTCACATTCCCCTCTTCTGTCCTCAGAGACGCAGATCTTTTAGTCATTGTTGTTTCATCTGCATCTTTCCTGCTTCCATAAATATACCTGTATAAATTAAGCATGCATGTGTCAAATCAAGTGACTCACTTGACAAGTCGGGCTTTTTCCCCCACCTACCCCTTACTTCTTAATGTATTCTCCCAATTGACTAATCCTCACTTCTTGCTTTTTTCTCTCAATCTCAAGCCTATAAATGGCGTTCCTAAGATAGATTTCATAAAGTATGACGGAAAATAAAAGGAATCAGGAGAAATTAGTGTTCGTGTCCCTGGAGGGCCGTTGGATTCTGCTGAAACTGAGCAGCTCTGTCCCAATTTGCTCTGCAGTTACTAAGGATGTTTTCACACCCGATAGGCCGGTAGACGTGGTTCAGATGGGGATTAAAATTTACAATATCTGTTGAATTTTCAGTTGCTGCGGTTTGCTTTCACAATGCACTGCATCAAATGATCCAAACTAATTGAAAAACCTGTTCACCTCCTAGCCTGTGGGGGCGCTGCACCAAGAATTATTGAAGGAAACAACAGGAAAACCTCTGAAATGTACGACTGTGTGTAAAACACACAATTTTGTTTACCATGACACCAATGAAACATGGAATTTTTAAAAACTTACCTTTACTGGACTTATGACAGAGTGAGAATTCAATAAAAGTACTGAGGTACAAAAGCGATAAACCCAAAAAGTCAGACCTACATGCCAAGAATCAAACGCATTGAAAGCATCTGTTTCTGTCTGCTGCGTAGGTCCATCACCAGAGCTTATTACCGTAACTCTGTGGGTGGGCTCCTCCTCTTCGACATCACCAACCGCCGCTCCTTCCAGAACGTCCACGACTGGCTGGAGGAGGCGCGCAGCCACGTCCAGCCGCACAGCATCGTCTTCCTGCTGGTGGGCCACAAGTGTGACCTCGAGGCGCAGCGCCAGGTAAGAAACAGGAAACAATCCAAAACTGGCTTCTTATAAAGATAGGTTGAGAGAAAAAAAAAGAATTGTGATGGGAAATATTTTGTTTTTGTAAAGGTTGATCAGTCCGGATTGCAATGAGAGATGAGTTTTTTTTTTTTTTTTTTTTTTTTAAATTCCTGTAACTTAAAGAGATCCAATCTAAAGTCTTAATAAACATTTCCACATATTTTACTTTTGATTTATTTATTGTGAATTACTTTTTCTTCTGTCACTTAATGTGGTTCTGGAAAAGAGACATAAGCAGATTGTTTACGTCTCAATTCCTGAAGTGATGCTGCTTACTGGAGATGATGTTCAGAAACATGATCTGTGCAGAATCTCACGTTTCAGTTCAACACATAACTCGGCAATTGATAACGCGTCATTTCACGTGTCTCAGCTTTTTTTTTTTTTTTTTTTTTTTTTGACACCAGAAGAAGAAACAAATATTTGCAAAAACATATTTAAAAATTTTTTCAATCTCACAGGTGACCCGGCAAGAAGCGGAGAAGCTGGCCGGTGCGTACGGCATGCGCTACATCGAGACGTCGGCGCGCGACGCCATCAACGTGGAGCACGCCTTCACCGAGCTGACCAGGGAGATCTTCGCCTTGGTGCGGTCCGGCGACATCACCATCCAGGAGGGCTGGGAAGGCGTGAAGAGCGGCTTCGTGCCCAACGTGGTTCACTCGTCAGAGGAAGTGACCAAGAGCGACCGCCGCTGCCTCTGTTGATCTGGGTGAACGGAGGATTCGAAAAGGGAGTGGACGCCGAGCGGAGCCGCCGATGACGGACTTAACTGTCGGCCGTCCAGACGGAGGAACTGTACTTCCTTCAGACTGAATACGGATTTGGACGGGTTGGGAAACTCGGTGAACATGCCGGTTCTCAGTGTCGACGAACATCATAACAACAAGCGGAGGATTTGGAGGGATGGATCCGTCTCTGTACATGTTTTTTGTTCTCAGAGGGAAAAGGGTCAGAGTTGTTTCGACTGGACTGCTTTCCCAGAACGTCTCGCAAAAGGCCTTAGAAACCGGATCTGTTCAGATGACTATCGTTTTGATTTCTGCCATTACCTCCTTTCCATTAAACACCTCTCAATATGCAATTTTATGATCACATTAACAAGAGATCACATCTTTCTTTACTCGTTTCTCCTAAAGCACCATATAGCGTCGTTTGGTCATGTCCTAAGCATTAAAGTTGTTTCTCCTTCGCCGACATGTTTCACATTCCAGAAATCAATAGAGGAGTCCTGGAGGTCTTTAAAAAAATCTCGGACCTGTCGCTTTACTACTTTACAAAAGTATTTATACCACTTAAACATTTTTTTAAACTTATTTTCAACCTTGCAACTACTAAGTTCAATCTATTTAATTGGAGTTTTTGTGGTAGTCCAACATAAAGTGGGACAAACGTGAAGTGGAAAGTAGATGGTACACAGTTTTCATAGAGGGTTCGCACATCCTTAAGGTCTTAAATTCATGTATCTAAAATTAAGGCCTTGAAATGTCTTAAAGTCATTAAAAAATGTAAGTTGACCTTAATCAATTTTGTCGAGGCAGGACTATTTAATCTGGCATATGCTACTAGATATATGCTCACAGATATCTTCATGGTAGCGGTTGAAGCTAGCACTAATTAACTGGTAATGTACCTGTTAGCTAGCTAGGTTTTTTCATCTATCATGGGAAATTAACTGCCAGTTGTCTGGATAATGTTCGTCTTCACCACTGACTCACTTCTGTTGCTAACCAACATGATGCTACTTACATTTTGTTCAAAAAATCTCGGCCTTACTTCTATATAAAATATGTAATGTCATTTTGTAAATTTCTGTCATGATACAAGTTTTAAATTTTAGTCATATTGTCCTTAATTCGGTCTTAAAATGACTTAAATTTGAGTTGGTGAAGCATGCAGAAACCCTGTTTCAAATCTGATTCGCTTTCATCTCTTTGCTCTCTGCTAAGTAGTCCAGTTTAAAGTTCACCACAAGCCATGTAGGGAATACAACAAACATGTGGAAGAAAATCTGCTAAAGACATAGGCCCAGTCAAAGTCCAGACCTAAATAAAAAAAAATAAATCAGTGTCAAGACATAAAGATTGATGATTCAAGACTTTCTCCATCCAATCTTTCGGAACTTGAACTAATTTGCAAAGAAGAATGGGCAACCATTTCAATTACAGATGCCCAACGCTGGTAGAGACATAATGCAAGAACAAAAGGTGGTTTTATAAATCGGTAAGTTTCTAATGAGAGGGGAACAGGAAAGAGGCCAACCCAACTCCTCTATCCACTGAGCCACAGTTGCTCTCAAAATATCCTCTGAAACTCTTCACAGTCATGCGCTACGTTGTGTTGGTCCGTCACATAAAATCAAACTAAAATACATTATCTTTTTTGGTTGTAATGTTACAAAATGTGGAGAAAAAAAATAGTGGGCAATAAATATTTTGAAAAGATTTAAGACCTCCAGCGAACTCAATGACATTGACCTGGTCGCATTAACCATATGTGTAAAAGTCACGCAATAACACGACACCTCCCTGCTGTTCGCAACGGACTCCAACTGCACGAAGACAAAGTGTACAGCTGAACTCATGAAGGTGGAGCTGTGGACACGTCGAACTTCATGTCTGCCTGTTTTATTGAACACACCAGGTGGATTTGTTGAACTCTCTTGGAGTCTGTTTGGAGCAGGAAAGCACCTTAATAGTCAAGTCTGTCTACACAGGGAAAGCCTTATTTGGTATACTTCAGTTCTCCAAGGTCAAACCGACAGAGACGGACTAATCACATCAACGGACACTTGACGAATGGACTCCATGGCAACACTACGTAACCAACAATGCACGCTAAGGAAAGAAGGAAAATCACCCCAAAGAAAGCCGACCTACGAGATTCAGTTCTGTTCGATACGAGTTGCTCATGTTGCTTTGATCTGTGAAAATGCAGTCATATACGAGTTTATTATCGCTTAAGTTCAACCCTGCAGTTTTATCTCACCACCATGATGGCTTCGCTATGACATTACATGTGAGGCGCACAATATAGAGAAGACTTAAACTGCTTCAAATTTGGTTTTTCAAACTTTATCTTTACCTAAATTTGATGATTACATTTCAAGATGCATTCCAACCCCTGACATGAAAATTAAAGAAATAATGCTTATATAATGTGGACATTTTTTTCTCTTATTTTCTTGCCATCTCCTAGTTTTAGTTGTGCAACATGACAGAATGAACACAAAGAAAAGAAACCTTCAAACTGCTGTTTTAAGCTGCTATATCTGAAAAGACAGATGGTAGAAACTAGTTTTTAGCTCCATACTTTCTCATCATAGTGCATATGTAGGAAGCCATAGATCATTTAAAACATGGTATAGTCATTTTACACGTAGCTCTTTCCATGTCATTTTATTTCATAGACTCATGAAAAAAAAAACCTTAATGATTCTGTTTTCTTTGCCTGTGATTGGCTGTAGTTAAGGATATCCGTTCATAGATGCAATTGCTTTCAAACTTGGAACTTGAACCCTGATTAGTTGGGTTTGGTGTGAATGATTGTCTTCAATGCTAAGAGTCAATTTTAGCAAAAGTTATCTATAAAACCCACATGACACGGGTCAAAAAAGAAAATATAATTAAAACCTGAAATGATTCATTGTGGAAATCAAGTAATCTAAGATTTCAGAATCAACTTTTTTTTACTTGGTGTGTGGGGGGCGAGAAGAATCTTTTCAATTCAGGCAAAATTAATATTCAAGGCAAATAAAATAAAATAGGCAGCCCTCTTGATTTAAAACCTATTTAAAAAAAATCATATATAGAAATCATGTTTTAAAAAAGCAAGTAGAACCAAAATTTCCTATTGCCTTTATCTTTTTTTAATTTTTTTTTACCAAATCTTATAAGTGCTGAAGTCTGTTTCTACATTTCAAGTGAAAAATATTTTGAAATTCTCAACTGGATGCCATCCACTGCCATCTATTTAGGAGAACCATCCACCATCTGGAAAGAAAGGGGCGATAAGCACAGTCACCTCCAGTAAAACACAAATGCAAATCTGTGTGTGAACCAAGCAACCACTAAATGGCTAAAGCTGCCAACCAGGAAGTAGCTTCTTTACAGGAAGTGCACTCAGCAGCTGACTGTCTGGAGGACTGGAAACTGTTCATAGTGATGAATCTCAGCATCAGAAGGTCATGGGATGCTGCTGCTATTATAAGACGCCACTCTGGCAGAACTCTACCCGTGTCAGTGTTAACATCTGAAGATTTGTTGGAACCGAAAACAAAAAAAGAAAAACACTTTCATATGAACACAAGTACATTTCTTTGACCAGGCAGAGGCACTTTGAATAAAACGGCTAATTGGTTGAAAAGCTCTTTCTAGTGGAGAGACAGAGTGATTTCTGGGAACTCTGCCAGGATTTTTGGTGGTGTTGGGTTTCAGCAAGCCTGCACACACACACATATGCACACGCACGGACATTACTCTGTTTATTCAAAATAACATTTATGTTAGTTACTTAGGGGAAACGTGGTGAATGTTATCAAAAGCTCAGAAAACTTAAAAATTATCTCTGCTTGTATGAGTTATAAATGGAAGCTAATGCTAAAATGCTAATTTCAATCAGACACACCCACAATGTGTCAATGACAATTTACAAACTTTTCCTTTTCTATACTTTCCACTTGATAAGAGTAAAAAAAAAAAAACAAACATCAAGAGGAAATGGAATTGCTGTGCAAGACTTAAAAATAAGAGTATAAATAAATGTCCAACTACTTGAAGTCTTAACCAAAACTTTAACTCGGATGCTAAAGTTTATTCAATTGAAAATTTACAAAACAGGCACTGTTTTGTTCCATAGGTTTTAAGCGTTTTAAAACCTATGGAAAAATTCACTGAAGGAAAGCGTGCTAAACATTTTAGCAAAATCGCTAAACTTAAAAATGAGCTACGCTATTAGAAGATTAGCCAATGTCTAGTTAAGACGTTAATATTTAATTCTTAACTAAATCTTCAACACGGATGTCAAACTTTATTCCACAAAATTTTTTACAGGCGAGTTAGTTTGTGCTCTAAAATGTACTTGGAAAAAATTAAAGGGAAGCGTGCAAAACGTTTTCAAAGTTAGCAAAAACGCTAATAGTTGAAGTGTGACCGCCACTGGAAAATACTTCACAATGAGCAGCAACAATTGCTTTTCTAAAGTCATTGCTGATGTCTTCCTTCATGGGTTTGTATTGACTCCAGTCACCACCAGTAAGTTCCTTCTTCTAGTCTTTTCCCTTATAGCTGTTTTTGTGACGTTTCCATCAAAAATAACACACAAAGCATCAAATCAAGGGCTCATCTCTTTTCCTAAATGATCTTTTTCTTTTTACTTCATTAATTGTTTAATGAATACAGTGGAAGACAAATAAATACAGACAAAACAGTGGCAAGGAGAGGAGGAAAACAGAAAAGGAGGAAATATGGAGAGGAAGGTCAGAGGACGGAGAACTGCGGCAGGTCTGGCGGACGAATCCTGCTGATCTATGTGAAACCCTGCGAGTCTCAGGAAGTGGGAACCAAAGTTTACAAGGCAAAACCAGTTTATCCTAGAGCCGTACTGGCCGGGCTCTATGGGAGGAAACTAAACCGTGTAATGATGTAAGCGTTAAGTGTCAACGCTGGCTGAAAGAAAGTTTTCAGTGGAAGATACAGGAGGAAAATCCATGGAGGACAGGATGGTGTATGTAAAAACCTCATTTCTGATCTGCCAGAAGAAATAAATAAAAAAAAGAAAGGAACACAGTGAAATCAATAAAAAGAATACAAAACTGCCGTGTTGACGTTGTTTTTTGGTTAATTTTTACTTGAAAAAATACTTTAAAAAGTAAAAAAAAAAAAAAAAAAAAAAAAAAAAAAAAAAAAAAAAAAAAAAAAAACAAAAGAAAAAAGGAGGGGGGGAATTTTGGGCGGGGGGTTAAAGGGGAGCCGCCGAAGGGA